CCTAGGGCCCCCCAAAACACACTTGGCTTCAAACCAGAAACGTCTAATCAGGATACCCATAGTGGCTACACTATTTCTTTTGCACCATTTCTTCATTTTGAAATAACTAATTATACGTTACTTTTCTTATTTTACTAAAGATCTATTATATTTAATAAAATCAATGTTAAAATTGGCTCTTCAAGAGTGTTATTAAATAAACTGAAGACTAAATTTTTAAATATATTATCTCTTCAAACAAAATTTTCAATATATTTCTTGATTTTCCTTCCACCCTTAATTTGTAGTGGAGTCTTCTTTGAGTGTAAATTAATAACACCATTACATAGAAGTGCACACCGAAATAATAGTTGCATGCAACGTGCAAAACACATAGTAGTAGGAAAATTCAAAGGGACACCAAATTGAAAGATACTCCCACATATTGGTTCCCAAAAGGGAATCTTGGAGGAGCATAATCATGAACAAGTTTACATTCACCATTAATACTTACCCACATTCTCATTAATATTATACATTCATTTCAGTTGAGTGGCCTATAAAAACTCACAAAACACACATTATTTTCAGGCACAGCTTCATATACATCTCAGTTTTCCCAATCCACACACTAAAAATATCTCAAGGCCAAGCTTCATCATGGGCAATTCGAGAATTGAGTTCATGGTCAGTGCTATTTTTCTCTCCTTAATGATTTTTCATGGAACTTTTTTAGCTCAGGGAAGGCCACTGCAATTGGAGACCAAGCATGAAAACAGTATCACAGAAATGGCTAAAGTGGCAGAATATACTTCAACTGCAGCACTTAACACCAAGAATCCACAAAATGACAGTGTCAGAAACTGGACTGTGAACGATTTCCAACCGACAGATCCAGGGCACAGTCCTGGTGCTGGTCATTCCTCACCACGCGCCGACATTCCAAAGCCCTAGATACACTGCTATTACTACACTCTGCATTTCACAATATAATATATTATCACTATATTTGAAAAATGTTACTCCCAGATTTAAATCTAACATCTTTCTGTATGCTCATCACATTTGGAGAGAAGAAAAAAGATTGGGAATTGAAGCTGGTTCCAAAACCAAGTTCCAATATGCAGATTTAGGTGTACAGATAATAAAGGTATTTATATCTGTAGATGGGGATTAATTATGTGTATAAGTTATGGATATCCCATGCATACAGAAACCTACACATAGTTTATGGCCCTTCATTAATTTGTGTGTAAGTTTTACACTATGTAAGTATTAAATATATGCATCTGTTATTTTAAAATTGTACTCAATTGCTTTGTAGCTTCATATCTCATAACTTGTTTCTTCTTTCACTCTTTTCGGTCGTTTTAAATATTATTTTTCTTTTAATTAAAAATTGTTTTCTTTGTTTGATCTTTTTAACTTTCGAGGTTAATATTTGTTTCTTCTAATTGTATATCTTTAATTTGATTAATATATATAAAAAAACGGATATTGTAACAAATAAAATAATAATAACATATAAATATGTGTGTATTTAAATAAAAATTGAAAAATAATAATAATTTACTCACTTAAAATTCTTTTAAAATTTTAAAAAAAAATAGTTTCCTTCATTTAGATAAAAAAAAACTATTTTATGACGGTGTATTGTTTGACAACGTTATTTTGTGTTAAGAAAACCACAGGAGGAAAAAATAATGCTAAAATTGGAAAAACAAATTAGGCAAAGTGGCAAAGTGGTATGACGGTGTTCTGTTTGACAACGTTATTTTGAAATACAACATTGTACTTCATTGATTTGAGCTGTTCAAAAATAAATATATTAACACGTATTAAATTTATTAAGAATTAGGTTATTCTTACAATTTATTATTTTTTGATGATGTCGAAATTTGATGCAAGGAAAGCTATTAATTAGATACATTCAAATAATATCGTCAATATTGAAGTAATAAAATTAATGCCACAAATTAAGTTATGCATTAGTTAAATTAATGAATAGGTAACAAAAGGTCAACAAAGTGTGAGGGTTCGTATGTGAATCAAATTGTCATAAAATTGGAATTGTTNCTGTTTGACAACGTTATTTTGAAATACAACATTGTACTTCATTGATTTGAGCTGTTCAAAAATAAATATATTAACACGTATTAAATTTATTAAGAATTAGGTTATTCTTACAATTTATTATTTTTTGATGATGTCGAAATTTGATGCAAGGAAAGCTATTAATTAGATACATTCAAATAATATCGTCAATATTGAAGTAATAAAATTAATGCCACAAATTAAGTTATGCATTAGTTAAATTAATGAATAGGTAACAAAAGGTCAACAAAGTGTGAGGGTTCGTATGTGAATCAAATTGTCATAAAATTGGAATTGTTATAGAATGAAATTGTGATATTTGGAGGAAGAAATGACTTGACATAAATTAACTTCACTTGTTAGAATGCATTTAGGAGTTGTTTGGCCGAAAATATCAACACCAAAAAATCTAAATCTTGTCTAATAGTCCAAAACAATTCATAAGACATTATGCAACTTTTCAAATAAGGTCACAAAGTAAGTACTACCCATAGTTGCAGGTTGAGTAGGTGTAGGTGCTGTTGCAGATTTTAAAGGCTAAACTGCTACATATGATAGCTTGTTATGCCTTCTTTTGCTTTGACCGATGAATGTTGACGAATTTAATTATGAATTAAAATTTTATATTGAATAAAATTAATAAAGTTTAAGATAATATGAAAAATAAGATTTTAAAGTTTATCATCTGATGTTTTTGAGTTAAAAATAATTTTATTCTGTTTAAGTTTTACGCATATTTTATTAATGTTGAATCTTCTGTTTGATTATCTTATAAAAGACCTTTTACTTTTGCTACTGCTGAAATTCATACATGTTTCTTTTATCAAGAAATAATACTATATATTTATACATACATAAGATTTTAGTCTTTATATACAAAAATTGTTGTTGTCAGCATAGATATAATAACAAAGCAGAAAACAAAACTCACTGATCTCCTCCTTTAATTTCTAATTTCAGAAGAACCAAAATAAGCCAATTTTAGAAATGCCAAGTTCATAAAATCCAACTTTGAACATTTCAAACCGTCCTGGATTTACATATTGTAAAGGGATTCTGACATCTCAAATATCATTACATGTTATTTTTTATCGATAAAAAAACTCATATACAAGTAGAGTGTGGGTTTTTTTTTATTATTATGAAATCAATCTCATTGATACTTAATCTAGATGATACAAAAAAAGTAACATATTTTGTCAAATAAATTAGGACTTTAAATTTAATTAATTAGATTGTCTTGTTAAACTAGTCAATGATGTTATGTAACATGTAGTTGAATTAACCAAGTGTAATTCCAATCACATGGTAATAACCAACTTCCATTACACCTGGGATTATGAAACAAAAAAATCTAATAATATTTAATTAAAATTTATAATCATACCAATTTAAATAATTTTAATTATATCTTAATAAAGTTGGAAATTTATAGTTTTGAATTTCAAATATAATCTAACTAATTAGATTTAGATTGAATATGGATTGATTTATGTTTTGTTGGATTTTAAAAATCAAACCTTCTCCGCCTGCCCTGGAGGGCATCTTGTGTTATCCTATAAAAGATAGAAATAATGAATATTAATTTCAATTAATGTGAAGTACTAGGTCAATTAAAAGGGAAATAACATTAGAAGTAAATGTAGTGACAATTTAGTAAATATTAAAATATATGCTATATTAATTAAATTTGAATCAATGTAAGAAAATAAATTACATTAAATAATGTATTCGATGTAAAGGCATAATTTTTAAATATTTATTTTTATTATACACATTATGTTGGTTGTTATTAACATGTGATGTGATGGAGTCTTTTCTTTATTAAAATGTGTATTAAAATGTGGTTCACTTTCTTTGTTATTCGTTGGTACTTTTGCTCACACGTTTTGAATTTCCATCATTATGTGTTTCTACTTTTGTTGTTTGATGTCCTTTTTTTGGTCTACTCTATGTTAATCCTGTATCAAGGTTTTGGAGGGTCGTGGCCACCGTGTTTTATCTTTCACAAAATAATGTTTACATCATTAATTTAAACAATATAAATACTTACTAATAACCTATGTAAAATATCTAGTTGCTTACTTAATTTCAATGTCAAGGTTAAAACATCTCAATTTAATTTGTTATAATTCTCAATTTTAAATGATTCCTTTTTCATCTCTATCCATCTATCTAACGAATAGATACATTTTTTTTTCTATATTTTTCATCTGAAAAATTTCTTTAGATTTAAAGTTGTCGTGATAAAACAAAATTAAAGTTGGTATAGTATATTTTTAAAAACTGTAACAGAATCATGTTCTTTATAAATTATCATGTTATTTTTGGAATAACAACTAAAAACAAACTGTCAATATTGGGTATGGATTTCTGCATTCTTTCTTCAAGTTCAGTGTAAAAGGCCTTTCACTTTCCCGTGGATGGAACGGGCTCTTTCTGAGGTTCGTTTAGAAACTACATTATTTTTATTTTTAAATTTAAAAATCATATTAAATTTAGAATTACAAAGTAAAATGAAAACAAAAATATTATTCTATGGTGTGATTAAAATTTGAAACTAATTGATTTTTAATATTTTATATAAACATTTATGACCTTAAAAAACGATTATTTTTTTCTAAAAACAAAAAAGGAACAAAATAGAGCAGAAGGATAGAGAAAGTGGTAGTACGGTGCGCAGATAGTATGGTAGCATAGCATAGTCCTGAACCATGTGATCTGATTCCAAGGCAATCTACCGTGCCGTTAAGTTTTCACTGCCATTAACTTCCCAACATCACTGACCACCGTAACATAAGTTGTGCGAGGTTAAAGTTAAACTGTCACACACAAACACACGAACGAACAAACTAAAATAATAATATATATATATATATATATATATAAATAAATAAATAAAAGAAGTGAAGAGTGAGGGAAAGAAAGGAAGAGGTGGCGGCGGATCCTGGAGAGAGAGGAAGCGAAGTTAGCGAAGCATAGTAGGAGAGTGTTATGCATATCCCTGATTAATAGATCCAACGATTGAGATCGCATCCCACCATTTGATCTAAGGGTGGAAAGGGGAACCGCGTTCACGAAGCCAACCCAAGAATCCGTCATCCTCATCATAAATCATAAATCATAAATCATCATCCTCCTCTTAGACCCTCACCGCGACCTTTCTCAAAATCCAGATTCAACCCTTCTCTCTCTCTCACTACACACATACTCGCGTAACGAACTCGCCTCGTTCCTATTTTTATTTATTTATTTAGGGTGAAAGAAGGAAGAAAGAACAGCCGAGAGAGGCGCTTGCCGTAACGGTAATTGAGAGAAAAGATGCAACCAACATCGAACGGCTCTGATTCGCAACCCACGGAGCAGAACCAGCAGACGCCGCCCCCGCCGCCACCGCCGCAGCCTGTGCCCGTACCGCCGCAGTGGCTCCCGATGCAGTACCCAGCGGCTGCCATGGTAATGCAGCACCACATGATGCCGCCTCAACATTATGCCGCGCCGCCGCCGCCTCCGCAGCCCTATGTCGCCTATCACCAGTACCAGCAGCAGCTCTCGCACGTGTCGCACGCGCACCATCAGGGATCCAGCGTCGAGAACAAGACCGTATGGGTCGGCGATTTGCATCACTGGATGGATGAAAATTATCTCCACCGCTGTTTCGCTTCTACCGGCGAGGTCCCTCTCTCTCTCTGTCTCTCTGTGTATATATGTTTTCTCGTCCGACACGTTAACACACACTCGTACTAGTGTGTTTTTTCACTTATTGTTTTTTTTTCAAACGTAAGACTGTTCCTGTTCGGTTTCTTTGTTTAAAGAGGTTGGGTTCTAATCAATATTATTGTGAGATGAGGAGTCTGACGTGGGATTTTGACAATTGGATTGAGGCTTCTTTGTTATGATGTGGTATGTGAAGTTTCTTGCATGGTTTCGTTTTGGTTTGGTGTCAACCTCGGCAATGTAAGAAGAAAGGGTAGTCCTCCTTTTTTTTTTTCTTTTTGTAATCGTGTGATAAAAAAAAGGTGATATACTTTTAGTTTTTTATAACCATGCTAATTGAAGTTAAGAAATTGAATAGAATTTTCAATTTGGTTTTGTGTTATTTGAAAAATTCATTCTGTTTGCAAATCATGTAGCCAACCTCAATCTGACCTGTTTAATTAAGGTTTTATTGTTTTTGTTGTGTTACTTGAAATTGTGTTTGGAACCTTATACATAACGACGATAACGAAGAAATGTTGTGTCACAGTGACTGGTGAACAGTTTGGTAGGAGGTTGCATTAGATTATAAGTTCAAAGATGAATGTTGCCTTTATATATAACCAAAATGTTGGACAAACAGTTTTTTTTCATCTGCATTATGTTGCAATGAAGCACAGATAAAATCCCTTTTCAGTTTTGCTTTCTGTGTCTTACCTGTTCATTTAGCTTCTCTCTAATTTTATTTTCTGACATTTCAAGCTATGTATAAATTTAGGTGGTGCCATTTGATTCAATTTAATGAAATTTGAATCGGTTGGAAGTTCGAGGGTTAAGTGCCTGTGTGCAAAAATCTGAAATCTTCCGATGTGATAAATTTCTTTTGTGTCATTTGAAGTATGAAAAATTAGGATTTAAGTGAATTTGAAGGCTTTTGTCTTTGTTAGCTGGGTTGGGCTTAAGCATTGAAGGTTTTAGACACAAGTAGAGTTGTTGTAGGTAAGCTAGTTTTAACTAGAAAAAGGTGATTTCAGTGTCATTCATCTGCTAGTGCCATCTGAAGTATAAATAATCATTAACCTGATTATTCAAAGATTTGTTTGTTATGATGGAAACTTGTCCCTGAGCTTTTCTTATAATTTACTATTGTACATTTTTGCAGATTTCCTCCATTAAGGTTATTCGAAATAAGCAGACTGGTCTATCAGAGGGTTATGGATTTGTTGAATTCTATTCGCATGGCACAGCTGAGAAAGTTTTGCAGAATTATGCTGGGATATTGATGCCTAACACAGAGCAACCTTTCCGCCTGAACTGGGCATCATTTAGCACAGGAGACAAGCGTTCAGATAATGTCCCTGATCTTTCTATTTTTGTAGGAGATTTAGCTGCTGATGTTACAGATAGCATGTTGCATGAAACTTTTTCTAATAGATACCCATCTGTTAAAGCTGCAAAAGTTGTTTTTGATGCCAATACTGGCCGTTCAAAGGGTTATGGTTTCGTCAGGTTTGGAGATGATAATGAGAGGTCTCAGGCTATGACTGAAATGAATGGAGTTTACTGCTCTAGCAGGCCTATGCGTATTGGTGCTGCAACTCCAAGGAAAACGTCTGGCTATCAACAAGGTACGCCAAATCCCAGCCATTGCGTCTAGTATCTGAAATTAAATTATCTTCTTTAAAAGGAATACCACCAAAAGATATTATACATTCAATTTAAAGAAAAATATTTTTAGACGCTTGTTTCCTGTTTTACATGTTTTGCATCATGTTACTGCTGATAGACATTGGAAGCACATGTGAGCTATATGCATGGATTCATTGTTGGAGTGGTGATTTCAGCATGATGTTATTTGTTCCTTAGTAGGCAAGTAGCTGATTGATAAAAAATATTGAATCTTTGTTTTCCTAATAACCTTTTTCTTTTAAAAGTTGTTTTCTAAAACAATTCTATACTCGGGTATTTTGCAATCAATTTCATACCTAGAATCTATACAATTTTAAAAATTGTTTCCCAGTGTTTTAAAAAGCAAAAATCATAAACAATTGGAACTTTTTTTCTCACTCTCTCTTCTGTCATCTTTACGCTTATATTCAAGTGACAAAGAGTAAACTTTTAGAGAACAGAAATGTGTACAGGAACAAACACTAGTAAATGTACTCAGAAACAAACAAAATTTAGAAAACATATATGTTTGCGAAAACAGTAAACAAACAAGGCCTATGTCACTCAAATTTAACTTTTACATTTGTTTGTCGTGTGCTTGCTGCTGCATAAGTCTGAAATAATTGTACTAGTTGAGATTTGATTTTGTCCCTTTATTTGTATAGGAAGTCAGTCCAATGGCACATCCAACCAATCTGAAGCTGATTCTACGAACACAACTGTAAGCTTTTCAGCTTTTCATTATTAGGTTCTTTTTTCAGCCAAAAACAAAATTGATTTGTCACTATGTTTTCTGTTGGTTGATTCAATTATAGATATTTGTCGGAGGTCTTGACCCCAATGTTACTGCTGAAGATCTTAGGCAGCCATTCTCCCAGTATGGTGAGATAGTCTCTGTTAAGATACCTGTTGGAAAAGGATGTGGTTTTGTACAATTTGCAAACAGGTAGGAGTCCTGACCCTGTCATTTAAATCTTAACATATTCTCAGATAACATGGTTTTTGATTAACATGTGTGTGTCCACTACCTCAACCATTCCAGAAATAATGCTGAAGAGGCATTGCAGAAGCTAAATGGGACAACTATAGGCAAGCAAATGGTTCGTCTTTCGTGGGGCCGCAATCCAGCAAATAAGCAGGTAATCTCTGTCAAACATGCAGGGAAATATGTTCTCAATGCCATTTTATCTACTCTATTAATCTACAGGAAGGAACTAGATTCATTAAGTTTTGACATGTCTGTTACTACCACGTTGTGCTGGTGTCATAGGAAGTTAAAAAACAATTTTATAATACAATTTAAGTTTTTCCAACAGCCAATTTACTCTAAAAAATGTTTGTTTGCTTCCCTCCTGATAAAATCACTGAACGGCATTTCTTTGAGTTGGAAATGAGAGAGAAAGGAAAGA